ATTTGCATTGACATAGCAACCTTGTGAGCTTAGCCAAAGCCCTCCCACTCATTTCCATCATTGATTCATCATCTTTGTGAGATTGGGAGAGAATCCAAGTGTATTGCTTGAGTGTTTGCATCTAGAGGCACTTGGTGTTCGTGTTTTGCTGCGGGATTCACTTGTTACTCTTGGTGGTTGCCACCACCTAGACAGCCTGGAGCAGCGAGGATCGTTGAGCGGAGGGTGGTGATTGTCTCCAGCTCCGATCGTGGTGATCGTGAGGGGCTCTTAACCTTTCCCCGGTGGAGTGCCAAAAGGTACTCTAGTGGATTGCTCGTGGCTTGTGCGATCCTCATCTTGTGTTGGTTGTGCGGCACCCTATTGAGGGTTTGGCGTGTGATGCTAATTAGTGCGTGAACCTCCAAGTGAGTGTATCGCCACAACGAGGACTAGCTTGCCAGCAAGCAAGTGAACCTCGGTAAAAAATCATTGTGTTCATCATTGATTCCGAGGTGATTGGTCTTCATTGTTATTCATCCTTGTGATTGATTGGTTCCTTCATCTACACAGCGGTATAACTTTCTTGATCACTCTCTTTACATTACCACAAACTAGTTATCAAGCTCTTTAGTGTAGTTAGTTGTGAGAGCTTGCTTGGTTGGTTGGTGTGGCTCTTTAGTTAAACTTTGAGAGCACACTAACATAGAGTAGTGTCATAGCTATTGCGTGAATAGATTCTACCTAAACTAGAATTGTGGTAGATGGCTTGCATTTTGAGTAGGCTAGCACAACACTTGTTTCGCCTCATAATTGTCTAACCCTTTCATTGAGTGTTGTTGTAGAAATTTTTATTAGGCTATTCAACCCCCCCTCTAACCATTAGGACCTTTCCACGGCCTCCGCTTCATCTGTGGCTTCTGCGTCCTGAGTGAAGAATGTGTCGTCATCCTCCTCCGCCTACAAGCCCGCCTCTGCTAGAGCGATGAACTCACTCAGTCTGCCAGTGTCGTCCTCAGCCTCCTTCGCCTGCAAGCCCACCTCTGCTAGAGCGATGAGCTCACTGAGTCTGCTAGCGTCGTCCTCACCCTCCTCCGCCTGCAAACCCAGCTCTGCTAGAGCGATGAGCTCACTCAGTCTGGTAGTGTCGTCCTCATCCTCGTCCCCCTCATCAGACAACACAATCGGTGATTGAACGGTGCGACCAGCTCGTGTTCTATGCTCATGTAACTTCTTTTCCTCATACCTTGCATGAGCCACCTCTCCGTCATGGTCCTCGCTGCATCCAATCCCTTTATGTATAAAATGCAATCAGTTAGCAACGCAATTATATTACATTTAAAATCAGGCAACGAAAAAAATTGCTTTCAAGCACTCACTGGCACATAATGCAACAACATGCTCGTTCAAGACCTACATCTGTACTCTTGTCTCCTCCCTTGCCTCCTTTCTTGCTCTCTCCTCCTCTAACACCCTCCGTCTCTCCAATCCCCATTTGTCAAGCCCAACATCGATCGGGTTACAAATATCACGCTATCTAGCAAACTCACGCATATTGTCTTTGTGATGTTTAACGAATAGGTTGACGTAGTTAGGTCCATATCCCTCTTCCGTGCAATTACTTGCCTCCTCTTCAGTTCATCCAAGAACTTAGCTTGACCATCATAACATTCCCACCTGCATTTCCTAGTGCTCTGTTCAAACGAAAAATTATATCATATATGTCTTAGCAAAAGAAACAAAATAAGATTTCATGTTTACCACAAAAATAACCAACCTCATCATAGTCAACCATATGGCCGCAATAATGGCCTATTCCAAGCTCCAAAGAGACTAGGTCATAGTTGGATTTAACACCACATTCGCACATGACAGGAGGTGCTTTGTAAATTACCCTTCCTTTCTTCTTTTCCTTAACCTTTGACGGCTCTTCTGGCCATTGGTTCTTAGGACCGTACAACCACTCCTTGGAACAACACTTCGCCATTGAAAACACCTAAATAAGGTGACATTAGTACATGAACACATATAGCTCAACATTTCAACATATACACTTTGCACTTACTTCATGCTTGTTTGGACACATAGACTCCAACATATTCTCAGACTTTATCACAGCTCAATCTCCGCAATCGCACAGAGGAGGTTCCTCTAGTCGTCTAACTACGGCTAAGTGCTTCTCCTTAGCCGTCATTGGAGGGGGGTTAGGGGGAGGTGGAACCCACCGCTCGAAGTGCTCTCGTGGATGTCGCCCTCTCCACCAATCGTCGAAAAGGAGGTACCTGGGGTCAAACTTGTCCGCACCGTCGATCCACTGAAAGAAAAAGCACCTCTCATGAGCCTACACAACAAAATTCTAACAAAATATTAGTAACCTCGTAATACAAATGAAGAAAAAAAATATACGAAAACAATTACTTACATTAAAATGATTGTATGTGTAGAAGCAACGAGCTGCTGTGTCCGGATATCTCGATTGAAACACGTCGGCTGGACGACCACAGTCACAGTTAGGGATAGGGAGGTCAGGAGGGACGAGGGCATCTTTGCTACACTCATTGGGGTACAATTCTCTAGGACGACCCTGTTTTCACCACAACTGCTCCCGAAACATGTCTTCCATCTAATAAAACGGTTCAAATTAAAAATCAATCAAAACAACGCAAATTAATGTAAAATATAATCATTTGCACTGTAACTCAAATAATATAACCAACACTTATAGCAACAAAAATATACATGGTAAACATACTTCTAACTAAATAATTAACCTTAACATCAACAAAATCAAACTAATATCTTCCACCAAACCATAGCCCATAGTTCCCAAACATAATTTTCCTCCTAACCTTAACTTCCATTCATAATATTTCAAACCACCATTCAAACGAAAATAAAAAGTGCGTCATTACCTTGAACGAGGTCGAGGAAGGAGGGAGGCGGCCAGGGAATGAAAGGGAAGGGAGGGAGGGAGGCAACAACAGAGGGTCGGGCGCCGACAGCACTTGGGAGTGGCGGGTAGGTAGGCGGGGCGGCGGGCGCAAAGGCGCGGCGGGCAGGCGGCCAGGCAAGGCGGGCGTGGTAGGCAGGCGGGGCTGGGCCGCGGGCCTTTAGCCGGTTCTGCCGCACCACCAATTAGGGCACATCACTGCCGCGCCAAGATCGGTGGCGCGGCAGACACTGCCACGTCACCGGTCAGCGCCCCGGTCGTCGCCACGTCACCCCTCTCGCCGCGCCACCATGCATGGCGCGGCACAGGCATTTCGCCGCGCCACGAAAATAGGCACGGCCAAAAGTGTTAGTTTTGGAAAAAAATTAAAACAGTGTTAGATTTAAAATTAGTTTACAAAAAGTGTTAAAAATAAAAAAAAATTCACATATTATATGTTCACTGTATAAATCTACTGATGTGGAGTCCAACAAAATTGGATTTTTTATTTTATTATTTTTCTATGATTTACTATGATTTTTATAAGATTCAGCCAAAATATAAAAAGAGCAAAAGACAAAACCGCCTATGAAAACCGCTTATAACGTGTCAGGGAGGTAAAACGAACGGTTTTAAAAGTTCAAGGAGGTGGTTTGCCCGGTTTTAGAGTTTATGGTGGAAAAGCAGACTTTCGTAAAAGTTGAGGATGTCCTGTAGACTTTTTCTGGAATTAACCGACAACATCTGTTCACGAATCACGAGCGCTTAGGCCTTTGAACGGGAAAAATATACATCTTAGGTGCAAACCTGCAAAAAGTATTTTGGTTATTCAAAAAAATTTGAAACCTAGTACATCCATAATGAATCCATATATATATACATACATACATACATACATATATATATATATATATATATATATATACTTACATGTAAAAGTTGAACCAAACTAGAAAAATAATATAAAAATGACAAATTTCATATGTATTTGCACTACAAGACAAAAACCAAAGAATTTTGTCTTGTAGTGCACATGCACATAAATTTTGTTATTTTTTTATGATTTTTTCTAGTTTGAGTTTGCATCTCAGTTTTTGTATATGAGTACATATATCAATGCACTGTTGATGTACCAAGTTTCAAAAAAATTGAATGATCAAAGTATGATTTTTGAAATGGTTTACATATTTCCACCTAAGATGTGATTTGCACCATATACACCCGTTGAACTACTGAAATCCATGGACAAGTTGAAGTGCAGCGCGTAGTCACGAAGTGCTAAACATCGCTCAGCTACAAATTCCACAGTTTATAACCAAATAATAAATAGCAGATATCGGCTTCATAACGAACTCAGATCGTGACAATGGGTGCTATAGCGGACACTAAGTTCTAATCGTGAAATATTAACAATAACAAGTTTTTGGAGCATATGTCAATACTAATATCATGTTTGCTTAAAATAATTAGAACCTTTTAATTAATTATTACTTTTATAATAACATAAAATCACAAAGAAGCATATAAAATAAAAGAAGATATAAAGAAGACACATCACACATGCTCGTATCAATTGAAAATAATACCATTAGTCATTTAATTATTCTTTATGATGGTCTACACCATCTTAACATTTTTATTATCATTGGAACCATCTAAATTATCACTTGAACTAGCTATTCACATAGTGAATAGCGGTCCAACAATAACAATAGCGGATGTTAAGTGCTATAGGGGCCCTAAGTTTCAACTTGCTATCTTTGACCCGCTGTCTTGTAGCGGTAGCAAGTGATAATTCAGATGGTGCTATTTAGTATTATATATATACTTATAACAAACCAATAATTTTTCCATGATGTAGTAGGATCGCGTTATTGTTATAACCACATGCTAAATATAATGCGAAGCTTTCAAGTTGTTGCAAGTCGATCACATTTATTCTGAAGGCGGCCTTTCATGACCTTGATGTCGATTATTTGTGGCTCTTAAACTTGGAGAGGAAATCCGAGATGTTGATATCCGATCTGCCACCACTGTTCATGGCCTTCCTTGCCTTCTTACTCCACTCCAAAGCTTTCAGTCTGAACTCCTCTCACCTTTCCCCTTCCATCACCTGCCGCACACACCTCTCCACCTCCTTCCTTGTGACCACTCCATCAGAATCCGGCCGTACCCACACGCCGACGCGCCACACGTCCTGGACGTACTTGGCGTTTGTCGGCTGGTCCGACCAGTGCGGCATCGCCACTATGGGCACGCCGGAGCTGATCACCTCCAAGGTGGAGTTCCATCCGCCGTGCGTCACGAAGCACCCAACCGAGGGGTGCGCCAGAACGTCCAGCTGCAGGCACCACGGCACGACGAGCCCCCTCGCCATTGCCTCGCGGGCGAAGTTCTTGGGTAGCTTGGGGGTCTCCGTGGCCCGGACGACCCACAGGAACGGCATGCCGCTGCTGCAAAGCCCCTCGGCTACTTCCTCCATCTGTCTTGCGCCCAGGGAGGCTATGCTGCCGAAGGAGACGTACACGACGGAGACCGGCGGGTGGGCGTCCAGCCAGGCCTTGCATTCTGTCGCCATTGGGGTGTGGAGGTGGACGCCCACTACTGAAAACTCGGATTGGTGTGTGGGTGATGAATTTTTCTGTGTGTTTTTTTTGGTACGCATAAAAAAATTACGATTTTTCTGTCGGTTTTAAAATATCCCGACAGAAAAATACGAAAACCCACAGAATAATTGTACGATTTTTTTGTGCGTGACAATACACACGGAAAAAATCAGCACTCACAGAAAAATGCAACTTATTCTGTTGGTTTTTTAAAAACGCACAAAAAAAAATATATGCACGCACATAAAAAATGTTATTATTCTGTCGGTTATTTTAAAACGCACAGAAAAAACATACACACGCACGGAAAAATTCAAACGACCAACCCCTCCCTTCTTCTTACCCCAGCGCCCCCTCCCCCTCCCTTCTTCTTCCTCCGCTTTTGGACCCCAGCGCCCCTCCTCTCTTCTTCCCCAGGCACAGGCCCCAGCGCCCTCCCCTCCTGCCGCCGCCCTCCCTTCTTCTCCCTTCTTCCTCCGCGCCTCCCTCCCAGCCCGCCCCTCCCTCTCTCCTGGATCCGCCCTCCCTCTCCCGGATCCGGCCGGTGGAGGCCGGATCTAGGCTCTGGTGGTGGCGGGCGGCGTGCGGCGTGGCGGCGGGCTTCGTGGTGTTGGCGTGGTGGTGGTGGTCCCTGGCGCCGTCCCTCCCCGGCCTTCTTCCCCGGCGCCGCCCCTCCCTCTGTCGGATCCGGCCCTCCCTCTCCCGGATCCGGTCGGTGGCGGTCGGACCTGGGCTCTGGTGGTGGCGGGCGACGGGCGACGTGCGGCGGGCTTCGTGGTGCTGGCATGGTGGTGGTGGTCCCCGGTGCCGCCTCTCCCCGGCCTTCTTCACCGGCGCCGTCCCTCCCTCTCCCGGATCCAGAGCTGTTGGAGCTACTACCACCATGGGTATGTATGCACTACTGGAGCTGCTTCCTCCACTGCTCCTGTTTTATTAACAGTAAGATGACCTTCTGGTTGTATTGTTGGGTTGTTCCAGCTGGTTTAGTAGTAGTAGCACCTCTGATTTGTTGTATGAAGAAACTGCACTGCCATTTTGATTCATGAAAATCACAAGTAGAACTATACTAACATAATTCACGATTAGTAGTGCATCAAATATTTCTTGAACATATATGAGCAATGAGCTGTCAGTTTGATCCAAATGGGAGCTCTTCATTGTCTTTTATCACTAACTTGACATCTTTAAAAATCACAAGTAGAACTATACTAACATAATTTACTGTAATGTAAGAAATATATATGGATGGACCACTCAAATAATGTCATTATATTTGAATTTGAGGGAGCAATGTAATAAGAAGATTTTACTGCAAAGTTAAAATACAATTTTTTCACTTGTTAGTTTTGTTAGTTGCTTTTCAGGTGAGATGCTATGAAAACAGTATCTTGAATATCTTGCATATATCAACCTGATCAATCATTTTGATATGTGATATTTGCGGAGCTGAGATGATATGGAACCCCAGTCTCGTGCCGCGCTGCTCTCCCCTTCCCTAACTATGCCTTGTGACTTTTTGTTTTGTACTACTCTTGAGTGGCTGTGATTAATCAAGTTTCCATTAGAGAACTTCTGCACTTTAGCACCTTATGAGTTGGTACTTGGGATATTTTGTTCTGTTTGCTGCTTAACTAGGATGGCTTGTACCAGTACAAGCAACCAGTTCTGTGGCCAGTTCAATTCCCATTAGAGAGAGAGAATTAAATTAAGCTCCAGGTGAAATTAAGTTGCAGTTGTCATGCTGATAATGGGTAAATCTGAGCCATTTCTCGAGTTCTTTTGCTCCAGGTGAAATATATGTAGTTCTTGTGCTTTTGACATACTGTTCTCTAATAGATCTGGAATGACCAATAGTTTCTTTTCTATTAGCTCAGTTCAATAGAGCTCTGTGATTTTTGCATTGCTATTTGTAGAAGAACATGACTTTTTTGCACGCAAATCATATATTTGTTGCCTTGGACTGTGAAACTTAGGTAATACTTTCAAATGTGAAATTTCTGGAGATGGTCAGTGTCTTTGTGGTATTTCTTCTGTAAAATTTTGGTAATTATATACTTTCAAATGTGAAATTTCTGGAGATGGTCACTGCTGCCTGTCATTTCTTTTGCACTTGTATTATGAAAACTTGAGTATGTGTAAGAACTAAGAAGCTTGTATGCTATGGCCACTGCTTTAGGCTCTTACCATTGACGAGTTCTATCGAATGCATCTTTAGTTTTATTTTGTTTAGGCTTAGTTTTATATTAAGTGGTACGGTAAAAAAAGAGATGATGGGTCATTGTGAATGGGACTGGTTGTTCTGTACCTTCAGTAGCGCTAGCTGCTTATAAAGGCTTATATCGATGCATCCAGTGTTTGTTGAGAAACGGTGCTAATCCCAATGTACCTGATGAAGTGAGTTCTACCTTGCTATTTCTCAATTTCAATATTAGTAGCAAATGTGTTTTTTGTCCTGCATAGTAAATTGAATTTGGTGACATAATTTGAATTGACAGATGAATTCATGGAATTCTTTTCCAAGTTTGGAAAGGTTGTGCAGCTGTACCAAATGCTGCTGTAGTTGGCAGATGCATGTAATCTTTGGCAAGTGATACCTCTTGTAAAGCCAAAGGTGTAACCTGCATGTGGTAAGTCTCATTTGTTACTTCCACTATTTCATCTCGAACATACAGTGCGTACTAGGAATTGGTGGAATCAATGTTCACAAGTTTTGACCGATAATTACTCAAAATTTAAACATGTTTAGTCTACAAGAGTTGCACCACTAGATTCCTACTTGGAATATCATTAATACCGATATTGATTTTGTATCAATTGGTAATATACTCTATGAGAGATTAATGGTCCAAGTGTAGTATGGTTTACTTTCTCCAAACATAATACACCCTATATTTTGGGATAGAGGGAGTATTAGTATAAGTAAATTATGCTGAATCTAGTAGGCAATTGATCCTTGAGTTAGAAATATTTGTTGAGTGGTGCTCACAGAAGGCCTTTACAAATGGGGTTTCTGTCTTGTAGTGCAAAAAGATGTCAGAGTGAAGGCACTTGAGGCAGCTGAAGAAAAAACAGGAAGAGGAACAGAAGAAGAAAAGAGGTGCTGATGTGACAACAAGGAAGAGGCAGAGGGATGAGGAGGAAAGAAGGGAAAAGGAGAGAAAAAAGAAATGCATTGAAGAAGCTCGAAAACAACAGACGCGACCTATGGAAAGAAAGCATGCCAACAATGACAAAGAAGCTCGTCCAAAAGCTCATGTGAGTAGAAGCTATATTGTTTATGTCTATTGGAAATCTGGTATAACTTGTTTGTATGTGGAATCACATGAATGCATTCATCTCTTTGCGCATATTGTTGGACATATTTGATTATCTATTTACCACTATTGTCTATTAGAGCACATGCTCTTGATCATATAAAATTAAAAGTAGTTACTTGTCTTTGTTTTGGTGTTGGCAACTTAGTTTGTTAGCTACTAGCTTAATTTGTTATTGGGACAACATGGAATAACCCAAGCACAGGATCAAACAGACAGTGTGTTCTTAGTCCACATGAATTTGTTAGCTACTAGCTTAGTTTGTTATCTACAACACTAAAAATATGTAGTTACTTGTCTTTGTTTTGGGGTTGGCAACTTAATTTGTCTGTTTATTCATTGTGAGCAGCCTGGGGAATCTCTCTGTTCAGTCCTTAAATTGTTATACTAGCTTTATCTTGGTTATGAGAAATTATCTTTCAAAATCATATCAGTCTTCCATTTTGTTGATCATTATTCTTAATGTGTCAGGAAAGGGGTATGCAAGTCTTCCCGTCGCCCGCACAGAAGGCCCAGCAATGCCATGGGTGTTTTTGCTTCTCCGCCTGCACCTCGTCCACCCCAGCAGTTCTCAGTTCTCATGAGATCTTAGTCAATGCTTGATCTGCAGGATGTGACAGACTCAACTGCCATGGTCACTCCCAGGGACAAGCACATGAAGAATAAGCAAAAGTTGAATAGTATCAAGGACAAGCGCACGAAGAACTAGCAAGAGCTGAATCTTGGTTAGTCTGAGGGTTTTGAATGTATTGATGTCGGAACATTTGGACATCATCTATATACCTATGAATGTGTTGAACATTTAGACACCTATGAATGTATTTATTATATTGTGATGTGTCATGAAATTACTGTATGGACAATATATATTTTAATATGTTGTTGCTACTGTTTCAAAATAAATTATTTTTCTGTGCGTTTAACTCTTTTTTCTGTGAGGATGGCTACACAGAAAATTACTTTTAATCTGGGCGAAAGAAATTTTTCTGTAAGTTCACCTGGACCGACAGAAAAATACACGTATTTTCTGTGTGTTTATTTCTTTTTTCTGTGTAGATATCCTCACAGAAATTTTATTTTTAATCTGGCCAAACACAATTTTTCTGTGCGTGTAAGACCGACAGAAAAATTATTTCTGACGACGAACACACAGAACAATTGAATTTTTCTGTCATTATATTTTCGTGTGTATTTTTCTGAGATACACCGTTAGAAAATATTTTTCTAACGGTATTCGTATTTTTCTATGTGTTTTCACACATACAGGAAAAAAATGCGAGTTTCCAGCGGTGACCGTAGGGGCTGTAGGATACGTTGTCGTCGTCGTCCGGAAGGTGGTGGTCGAGGTTCACCGATGGCATGTTTGGGCCTACCGTCTTGGCACCCCACGTCGAATCCAAGTAATCTGCTTCCTGTGAATGAATGTGATATACAGAGGATGACAATGACATGGATGCCCAGTGTCTAAACTAATACATGTCCACACACACACACTTGGTAGCACACAGTACCAGTCAGTGGCACGGCATTTTCAGGCGTGCAGCGTGCAGTATACTCACTCACCTGCGGCTCCAAAGTCGTAGAATGAATTGACAAGCACGTGGTCCGCGGTGCCCAAACCTAAGAACTGTCTCGTCAGCAACTCCAGAAGTCCCGGG